CTTTATTATTTAAACAGAAGAGCAAATATTCTTACGATTTGGTATTTTTGTGTTTCTTGGAGATTTACACCCGAAATTTACAATTCATGTAAATTTAGGTGCTCTGAAACTGACATATAAAGGGTGTCCATAGTTAAATTGAATCTCTTCGAAGTACGCGCCAAAAATAAGTCTCTAAGCCGATTGTCATGAAATTTTCAGGGAATGTAATACTACACATAAGCTTGGTTTACGCATCTTTATGTCACTCTATTTCTTCACCAAATCCAAATGCCCGAACTTTATTCTTAAAGTAAAAGCGAAAAAAAAAAACCTGTAAGCGTATAACAGGTCAAAGAACTTGAAACAGGAGTTCCCTGCCTAATGCTGGTTACTAATGAAAGCTCTTTCAATAATTATGTAAACCATAAATGTTCACTAAGCTTCACACACGTTTTTTATTAAATTTGCACATGCAACAACATATATTTGGTAAAGAGTGTCAGTCATTTGCAACCCTATATCATTTGATTACCTATGACGCTCAAAGAATTTCTCATGTACCTATGCTACCTCTCCACATTCATCGGAACTTCTTGAAGGAAGTCTTAATATGAACATAATCGGAACGTCAATAATTTTTCTTATACAAATTAAAAGATAACATTTATTTCTAATAAAATCACTTAACTAACATTCAAACCATCCCTCTTAATCTTCTGGATCGGTTTCAGTCTCATGCTCCGGTTAGCGGACACAGTACTCTCAGTACCGTCGGTGGTAGTTGATGGTACGTTTGTTCTGCTAGAATCTGTTACGTTCTCCGTAACCATCGCTGTTTCGTGAGTGGCCGGGGTTGTTGATGTCGGCGACAGGGTGTTTCCGATGGTCATCGGCGTCAGAAATGAGGTGGTAGTGATTGCCGGTGCTGGTGTGGTTGTTGTACTTAACGATTCGGTTGAAGTTTCCAACGCAACTCGTTTGTCTCTGCTCTTCGCCGTGGTCGTCGTGGTCGATTTGTTAACTTTCATGCAGATGCACGTCGTTTCGTAATCTTCTGTTGTTGTAGGATCTTGGGGATCATCAGAGTTTTGGATTTGGGGGGCAGCAAGTCCAACCAGATCTTCTGATCTTTCTGTTGTCGTTGTTGTTGGAACGGTAGTTGTAGTTGTTGAAGTGCTTGGCAATGATGTTGTAGTAGTCGTAGTAGTTGGATTGGTAGTTGTAGTGGTCGTAGTTGTTGGAACGGTAGTTGTAGTTGTCGACGTGCTTGGTACTGCAGTTGTAGTAGTCGTAGTAGTTGGATCGGTAGTTGTAGTGGTCGTAGTTGTTCGAACGGTAGTTGTAGTTGTTGATGTGCTTGGCACTGCAGTTGTAGTGGTCGTAGTAGTTGGTTCAGCACTTGTAGTGGTCGTAGTTGTTGGTTCGGTAGTTGTAGTGGCCGTAGTAGTTGGTTCGGTAGTTGTAGTGGTCGTAGTAGTTGGTTCGGGAGTTGTAGTGGTCGTAGTAGTTGGTTCAACAGTTGTAGTGGTCGTAGTTGTTGGTTCGGTAGTTGTAGTGGCCGTAGTAGTTGGTTCGGTAGTTGTAGTGGTCGTAGTAGTTGGTTCGGTAGTTGTAGTCGTCGTAGTAGTTGGTTCAACAGTTGTAGTGGTCGTAGTTGTTGGTTCGGGAGTTGTAGTGGTCGTAGTAGTTGGTTCAGTAGTTGTAGTTGTCGTTGTGCTTGGATCAACAGTTGTAGTAGTCGTAGTAGTTGGTTCAGTAGTTGTAGTCTCTTGGGGATCATCAGAGTTTTGGATTTGGGGGGCAGCAAGTCCAACCAGATCTTCTGATCTTTTTGTTGTCGTAGTTGTTGGAACGGTAGTTGTAGTTGTTGAAGTGCTTGGCAATGATGTTGTAGTAGTTGTAGTAGTTGGTTCGGTAGCTGTAGTGGTTGAAGTAGTTGGTTCGGGAGTTGTAGTGGTCGTAGTAGTAGGCTCAGTAGTTGTAGTGGTCGTAGTAGTTGGTTCAGTAGTTGTAGTGGTCGTTGTGCTTGGATCGACAGTTGTAGTGGTCGTAGTTGTAGGTTCAGTAGTTGTAGTTGTCGTTGTGCTTGGATCGACAGTTGTTGGTTCAACAGTTGTAGTGGTCGTAGTAGTTGGTTCGGTAGCTGTAGTGGTCGTAGTAGTTGGTTCGGGAGTTGTAGTGGTCGTAGTAGTTGGTTCAGTAGTTGTAGTTGTCGTTGTGCTTGGATCAACAGTTGTAGTGGTCATAGTAGTTGGTTCAGTAGTTGTAGTCTCTTGGGGATCATCAGAATTTTGGATTTGGGGGGCAGCAAGTCCAACCAGATCTTCTGATCTTTTTGTTGTCGTAGTTGTTGGAACGGTAGTTGTAGTTGTTGAAGTGCTTGGCAATGATGTTGTAGTAGTTGTAGTAGTTGGATTGGTAGCTGTAGCTGGTGTAGTAGTTGGTTCGGGAGTTGTAGTGGTCGTAGTAGTTGGTTCAGTAGTTGTAGTAGTCGTTGTGCTTGGATCAACAGTTGTAGTGGTCGTAGTAGTTGGTTCAGTAGTTGTAGTCTCTTGGGGATCATCAGAGTTTTGGATTTGGGGGGCAGCAAGACCAACCATAACTTCTGATCTTTCTGTTGTCGTAGTTGTTGGGTCAGTAGTTGTAGTAGTCGTTGTGCTTGGATCAACAGTTGTAGTAGTCGTAGTAGTTGGTTCAGTAGTTGTAGTCTCTTGGGGATCATCAGAGTTTTGGATTTGGGGGGCAGCAACACCAACCATAACTTCTGATCTTTCTGTTGTCGTAGTTGTTGGGTCAGTAGTTGTACTAGCCGTTGTGCTTGGAGATAATCTCTCTAATAAAGCAAGAAAGAGAGTTGTGCTTGGATCAATAGTTGTGATAGTTGATTCACTTCTACTTTTCACAGAAACTCCTCTACAGGCTGCAGATGGAAATGAAGACGGCGGTGATCCACGCATTCCTGATTTTTTATTCCACTGATACGTTTGATATAGAACATCTTCATTGTGGTCGGTATCCTTTTGAAGTGTCTTCATTCCTTTTGACGATTCGTATATACCTGAACACGTTTGATCCTTATACTTGTGATCACTAAACTGGTTAACGAGATCAACCTTCTCCAGTGGTGAAATTTGGAAAGAAGGTCTGTAACCGTCGTGTTTGGTCAAATCGTACTGCTTCATTTCAAAATGTTTGCAATTATCACTTCCAGTTTTCGGTTTATAATTCTCCACAGCAGTTACACTGTTTGCCTGATCACTTGTTGTGACCGGGAATTCATGTTCAACTGATTGACCCCGCGTCGTTAGAAATCCTTCGCAATGATCCGTAATCCACAGTAGTTGTACTGATCGCGATTTGCTCTGCCCTACGGGGCAGGTCTTCAATTCCGCTACTCCTTCGCCGACACACAGCAGATACTGCGGCAGATATGAACCAAGCTCAACAAATCTTACCCCGTCGACACACATGCTAGTCGGTACCAATCGTTTCGCTTGCCAGGATTTAACTTCAGTTTCCGATGCACATCGACACCGACTTTGCAGTGGATCGAAAGATGTTCCGAAAGGGCACCGAAATTCGTACGCCATCCCGGAAACGCACCGGTAATATCGATTGATGTATTCTTCGTGCCGAAACACTACCTCCAGGGTCCTGTCCTGCTGGGGACAGTTGTGATTGGGTCTGGAGAGTTTCCGATCGCAAACCCTGACTGGTCGGCTACCGGTGGCGATTTCCGTGAGAAAGAGAACCGCGGCCATCAAGCGCTTAAATTTGTACATTTTTGACAACCGACCCAGTTGAACTACGCGGACTGTTTGATAGCCCCACGCGCGTCAACGACTTTAAAGTGCTGTTTTGTTATTCACACAGAACGCGTCGTCATCCGTGCCCTATCCAATTACTGGAAGCATCAGTTTCCATATGGGGAGTGTGCTTTTTCCATCGGCCGCCGTAGCGATAGTAAATGGCTCACGTGCAAAAATGTAAACTTTGCTTTTGGTAGGTTGGGACCGCTGTACGAAACAGTAGATTAGATTCTTCGAAAACAAGACAACGGACATGGTATTGCCACCGAACTTTGTTTTATTAGAGTTTCTATAATTGTTAAGCCTTTGCTCCCGAAAGTTTACAGGTGTGGATTGAATTTGCCTTGGAGGATGATTTTTCGGAAAGATACCGATCAGGATGTTGGAAGTCAGGAATTACCTTAGAAATTGTATTAGAAAGATTCTGGTCTTGCGAGGTTAGTGAAAAATGTTCCAAATCCGGCTCCGAACTAATATGCACATGGAACATGTTTGAATATTTTCAGTGATTTGTTGATGTAAAAATTAACATGAATGTGTAAAATTATACACTAGCAAGTAATGTTAGTTAAATGTTTCTCATCATTTTATTTTTAATCATTATACTTACACCCGAGAGATGGATCACTCCTCACAGTATCCAAAAATCACAGGTTGGATTCACGATTTTGGCCATCCCTGGTATGCCAGATGTTTTAAGGAAAAAAATCTTCAACGAGATTGACGAAATGTCTTCACATGCCTTCACCGCTACTTTACAGTTAACAGTAAAGTTCTGGAAATTCTTAGAAATCATGGACAATCTGTGGAAGCCTAGAAAACATCATCTGATTTCAAAAGTTCAGGGAAGGTTGTAGAATTTCAAGAAACTTCAGAGATCTCCAAGAAACTTCGTAGAACTTTTGAAAACTTCGTAGAAGTTCAGGGTACTGCGTTGAAGTTCTGGATACATTCTTCAAATGCAGAAAATTTGATAGAAGCTCACCGAGCTTCGTAAAACTTCAGTGAACTTCGTATAGAAGCGCAGATAATGTTGTAGAAGTTCTGAGAACTTCATAAAACTTTCTAGAAATTAAACGAACTTTAGAGAAATTATCAAATTTTGAAGCAATTCGCGGAACTTCGTTAAATTTTAGGGATTTTTCTTTAATTTCATTGCACTAGAATTGTTGAAACAATAGCAACAAATGACTAGAATTTATTCTCAGATCCTAAAACCAATAAATAACAACAGTACGCCTAGCTGATCTGCAGCTGCAACTCAAACGTTGAACAGCGATCCATCCACATCCGGTGTGTACTTGTTGCAAGTCGGAAATCCCGGTGGAGGTTTGACAAAACTGTCCGGTTCGCCTACCTGCAAAACCAGCACCATTCCGACGGCCGTATGCCATTCGAAGTGGCAGTGCATCAGCCAGAATCCGGGATTATCGGCCCGGAAGCGAACTCGGGTGTAGCCCTTGCTTGGAACCGACACGGTGTCCTTTTTCGGTGGCATCGTCGTAACCCGTGTTCGTCTAAGCGACTGAACCCGGGCAATCTCCTGTGCACGTTCCACCGTGATCGGTGTCGAGCGGTTTTGACCCATTTCCATCACGTACATCTGATAGCCGTGCAGGTGGAAGGGGTGATTCAGGTCGTTGACCTCCGGTGTCAGATCGAGAATGTACAGTTCGATTAGTTCGTTCAGTGGGATTTTCAACCGATGGATGCAGGTACAGTGATCTCGGGATTGACATCGATCTGGCCACATGCCTTCGTCGCAGAATAAATCGTCGGTGATGAGTTCCGTTTGCGTTAGGAGCGTAAAAGGTGGATATGTGAAGCTGATGTTATTGATGGCTCCTTGTAGGACGACGTCGCCTTGAATGTCTGTTGAATGCAATATCAGTTAGTCTTTTCCAAACATTAACTTTTTGAGGTCTATCTTACTCATGAAATGTTCATGACTATTGACGCCGAAAGCGGTTGAAAATTTCATCGGATAGTTTTCGAAACCAAGAATGAACCTCTCATAGGGAGTGCCATTGATGATGTCATCGTCGGTTTCGTATGCCTCAAAGTCTGTGACGCAGACATCCGGTTTCGAAACTCCACAAGTGGTATTTGGGTGATTTGCATACTGGAATTGAACAGTTGAGATATAAGCCAAATCTGTCTTTTTCAATGTGAGGATGTGTTCCTACCACTGCGGTTGAAAACAAGGAATCGTGGAAGTCCGGGGTTTGTTTGTCGAGGAAGGCGATATCCTCTTCAGGAACGGATAGGGACTGGTACGAGAGCGTGGCGAATTGGTAAAGTTGTCTGTCATTGCAGGGTCCGATTGCTCGTACGCGAATCCAATAGTCGTCTGAAAAAACGTTTTAAAGAATGCAACAACGTTATTTTATTACTTAAAAACTGAATGTACATTCCTGATGTTTTCATTATAAATAATAAATAACGCAGATTTTTTTTATTAAGGCCTTCTGCAGTGAACCCGGTAGCGTGGCCAAAACCTCTAGCGTCGTTGGCAGTGATGCAAAATATCATGACTCTCACGTGACACTCGTCTACGCATCAACCGAATATTGCTGACAGAACGTTTTGTCACGCAGTGAGAGGTAGAGCCATGGCAAACAACAATCACCAGTAACGGTCACTGCTCACAAGCAAAACGTTACACTCGCTGCTGATGATGAAAAGCACAACGAAAACAGTGAAGACTTCTGCAGTACGATCATGAGAAAAAGCGAAACGACAGAATAAAATGAAAACAATGCCTACGCATTCCAAGTTTGTCTCGACAGGGGCGACTGTGTGAGTTACAAAAAATGCAGACGACTCGTTGGTATGTATTCTTCAAATTTTCACAAAGTTGCTCAGTTCATCAAGGGCCAACAATTTGTGTTTCTGATTAGTTCGTAATCCTGCCGCATAGGTAGCGCTCGAATCTATATTATAAATGGAGGGTCCTAGAAGTATGGTTTCTTGGGCAAAGTTGTGCATTTTATAGTTCTGTTTATCTTCGAAATGTTGTCGAAAATATCAAAGGCCTGTGACTCAATTAAAGGGAGACATCGGTCTTCTAAGAAAACGCGTTTACCGCAATTATAGCTAAAACTATAAGCCTTTCTTGAGGAACTTTTTTGAATGCCAATATGCACAACTTTGCTGAAAAAACCATTTTTGTTGGACGCTCCGTTCAAAATATATATATTTGAGAACCACCTATGTGGCAGGAATACAAACTAATCAGAAACCTCCAAATGCTGGCTCTTTGTAAACTAAACTACTTTGTCGAAGACTGCAAATCTGTACTATGCATACCCAACTCGATAGCCTCTTCTTCGAAATTTAATCTAACAGAAAAAAATAAATAAATAACATTAAATATCTCGGGCGATTGGTTCAGTGTTCAAGTTAGGTTCGCAGCTTTCTCAGTCATGGAGTGAAACGGATCAATTCTTTTCAAGCGAGGTCTTAACTCTCTATGATGTATTTTTCGGGGAATTAATGCGTACTGTTCATTCGTCTAGAAATTACATCTATTTTGAATCGTTTGCCCTGATGTTGTATTTTTTAATAAACAGATAGTTTTACAAATTTCATATTTTCATGATGCCTCGAAGTATTGAAAAACTGAACATTTAACGAATTCTTAAACTCTTTTCATCCAAAAATGCTAGTTTCAAAACACGAGAGGAATTATTTGCATGAGCTGAGAATAAACAATTCTAGAATTCGTAATTTGAGCAGTTACAGGCCAAACAGCGAAATTTGCCAAGCCAAGAAATTAATTTTTGACTCGACCTTCTCCGATTTGCATGAAACTTTGCATAATTGTCTGTGATTGTTTGTTATAGGCTTGGTTGTTATTCGCATTTGTGCTATTATTCGACCATTTTGGATCTTGCAATTTTTGACGTAGGACTACGTCTGTGTTTTCTATATGGGAGTACAGTTTGTGAAAACCAAAATTGGAACATGTAACAAAATTATGAAAGATTTTGAACGTTAATAACTCAGCTACCCCTGGACCAATTTCAACAATTTTATCACCAATCGATCAGAACTATTTCTACGCACCTGGAAATTTAAGATTCTATTATTTTTCTAAATGTCACCACTGAAAATTGCACGAATGTTCAACTGTTGCTATGATAATTAAAATTATCACCGATTACCTGCGAAAAGCGATTTCCCTAACAAAGATTTCAAAGTTGAATTCCTTCCAGTCTCACCAAACGGTGTTTATTCAATTACCACGTGATGATTGGTGGGCTTCTCCAGTACACAACGAAAGGTTCCCCGCAAGCAACTAGCAACTATCAAGGCTACCCTCAACCGCTGATCGGATTCAGTTCCAATCGCTGTGTGTGGTGGTGTCGGTCGTCGGCATCAGCAGCAGCAGCAGTGCTGTCGGAGAGTGACGTTGAACATTGTTCTCCAGTACACAACGAAAGGCTGCCTGCAAGCAATGAGCTGCAGCCCACATGACCATCCATAAAAGGAAGAAGAAGCCGCACAGCTATTGATCGGAATCAGTAGCTCTTCGTGAGTCGCTGTGGTCCATCTATGTCAATCGCGTTATACTAAAGATACTGCTGCAATTAACAAATAAGATTTATTATATAAGACCACGTAGTCCTACGTCACCATTGCGTACAACCCCATAGGGCTGTCCCTTGTAGTTTTTTTTTTTTTTTCAAAATGACTATTTTGAAAAGTTTAAAGAAATTGTAGCATGAAAACATCACTTCTAATCGAAACATCTTTCTTGGATAAATATACATGTTTTATTGGTTTTAGTAATTTTGAGTAAAAATTAAAAAAAAGTTCTGAAATAAATAAATGTTTTTTTACAAAACTTATGAAAAAATCATAGTTTTGAAATATTCAAGACCATGGACACTAAAAAATTCTGGATTTTTACTTAGGATTACGTTTTTCAGCAACATATTGAGGGTGCAACTTCAAAAATACCAAAATCGACCGCGTTATTAAAAATGGTTAGGTTTTGACCAGTTATAACTCTGTCAATAGCGGATTGATTTTATTTCTAACCAGACCAATCGATTGGATATTTTTCTACGAATCTGCTAAAATGAACCCTTTTCAATTTTCAATAGGTCACTATTAAAAATTACACAAATGTCCAACAGTTGCAATGGTCATCAAAATTATCACCGATTGCCTGCAAAAAGCGCTTTCCTTAACATAGATTTTAAAATTGAATCCCATCCGGTCTCGCCGAACTGTGCTCAATCAATCACCGTGTGTTGTGGTGTCCGGCCGGTCGTGGCATTGAACATTGTTCTCCAGCACACAACGAAAGGCTGTCCGCAAGCAGCAAGCTACAGCGCACATGAGCGAAGAAGAAGGAAGAAACCGCACCGCTACTGATCGGATTCAGTAGCTCTTCGTGAGTCGTTGTGGGCCATCTATGCCAAGCGCGTCACCCTCGTTCCAAACAAACTACTGCTCGCCAGCTTGTGTTGAACGCTCTAATAGCTTAGTATTACTCAACCATAACGACATTACTTTTCAGGACCACCATAAATTTGTTAAAGTATTTTCAGGATATTTGTCGGGGTCAGTTCTCATAAGTTTAAATCTAACATACCATGTATTTTTAAAGCAACATTGAGGGTGAAATTTAAAAAAAAAACGAAAATCGGTCGTGGCATGGCATGGAGGGGGAGGGAGTGAGTGAGAAGTTGTCACCGACCATGTATACCAAAATACGTTACGAGAGACGAGGGGGAAGGTCTAAGATATGTAACATCTCTTACGGATGGTCCTTTATAATAAAAAAGCTTGGCTCTGTAAAGTTTATTCAGTTGAGCCTGTACTTATAAAGCAATTAGCAAAAAAAATGAAGAAGGATTAAACAAGTTAACGACTCAACGAACTTATCATGTTATGAATTAACTCCATAATAGAATAATAACAGCTGGAGCGTTCAATAGCTTTTATTATCGAAAGAACTGCTCAATGTCATAAAGAAGGTATTCTATACTTTGTATTAATTATTTAAAAGTGTGCCGACACTTGTGTCTGTTTATTATTCGATGTTCGTCTTTTCACACTGCCATTTATATTTACTTGCCCATATATGATTTAACTTTCTGTTGATACGTAGTTTTCATATTTAGAGTCCCGGCGGGGTTTAATCGACGAGAACGAAGCGGAAATTCTCTCGAGGCAAAAGTTCTGTAGCAAACACTCTAACTAGCTGTACGGCAATATTTACTCGGTCTCGACTATAATTGAACCATGGATAACTTATGCTAGAAGATATCTTTTTCCTTGAACTGTCCTACTAACCTACACGGGCCTATAGAGTAGCAAAAGTGAACAAGACTGAATTTATTCAACTAATTGTAAGGTTTATATAGTAAATACAAAATTAGGCGTCATCAAGTGTGTGAGTTAATTACTATGGAGTGAAATCAAATATGCCATTAGAAAATTTAAAGCGGAACTAAATAGCTTACCATACAGTTATCACTAATAAAGCTTTTCTTGCATTCTAATGCCACCTAGCGAGTCGCTTTCGATCTATACGTCGAATTAGCCTCAAGGAAGGTCAAAAAGTTTGATCGACAAAATTGTCAAACCGACAAAATCAAGACGCCTAATAAGTCAAAAATCAACTTTTATTGAAAATGATCAGAACCATAAGAATAATCGAAACGAATGAGTAGTTTCAAAACGTCACAGTAGTATTAAAACTAAAAACGCTGAAACGTTATGAAAACTTTCAACACAATCTTTAAATCGTCGAAATCTGTTGAAACACCAAAAATGGATTTAAGACACTAAAATGGATTGGAAAAATTTTTGATAACGCACTAAATGTTCTAACAACTCTTATAATATTCTTGAAAACGGCAACTCTAAGAATCTTGAAACGTCAAAAAAGTCCTATAAACGCGAAAAATCGCTCAAAAAGTCAGAATGTCCAATTTTGAAAATGATACTTGTTGTTTTTCAGCAGTTATGGTCAAAAGAGTGAAAAATCTCTGCACGAGGGTTTGTTTACCATACAATTTGTATCAGATGTTTGTCGCAAGTGCCCCGATTTACACAGAATCAAAAATGCGTCAATAATTTGTGATTTCAGAGAATAAGTAATCAGACATAATCATTGTTTCAAATGTTTCAAAGACATTGAAACATTGTATAAAAAGAGATAAAAAATGTCTAAAACACATTTTCAACGCAATATTTAATGGATGGAACTTGGCCAAATATCTATAATGATATGATTTACAAATATTCAGGTTAAGATAAAAATCAGTAAATAATAATTAAAAAAAAAGGTGGTACTGTGTGTTCTAACCTATCGCTGAGCACTGACTACCTTCTATTAGCATGTCTCAATTATGCAACAACTCATCAGATAGCTTTCTTCGAAGATTTTTTGTTTGCTCAACTCAACTGCCCTAAAATTCCCATCAACACCTCCAAAAACAACTTTCGTGCAGCCCCTTTGGCGATGACGGGAAAGTGAAAATTTTGCATTGCCGGGGAATCCCTCGAACCAAGTGGGGTTGAAGAACGACGGATGACGGGCCAAATTGTCCTTCTTTTTTTTTTTTCGCATTCTTCGTTGAAGGAGAAAAGTTAAGGCGACAAATTGAGGCCTCTTCTCTTATCGCTCTTTCGCGCACTGCCTGTAGAATTCAAGTACCTACCTACCATGAACCAACTTGTAGTGTTAGTTTTCGGCTTGGAAAGCATTTTTGAAATCTGAGAAGAGCTTGTTTTGTGATTCTTTTTTTGTGGATTCTACGACAGAAGGCTGCTCCGAAGGAAGGTTCTCGTCATAGTCACAGTAAGTGTGTACACTATCATCCATCTTATCGTAGTCCAATAGGGTTCCGCTTATTCTCAAATGCGGTGCACGTTGAACGTATCTAGAACATTATACACACTTCCGCTCTTTCTCTCTCGAGCTGATGACACTTGAGACTGACGACATAAAAGGATATTCACCGGCGCAGGAAGATATAAGATTTTACAGTTGGCAGCCTCAGTAAGTACTCTATTCTTGGTCCTTCCACGAGGGAATACACACTGAGCCCGTAGTGTAGTGTGTTATCGTGTTTTATTTTGCAATGTTCTTCCAGCTGGATGATGGCGTTGATTAAAGGGAGTGCATTGTAATTGAAATCTGAAACGCTTCCCCATATGATGGGTAAAGACTTTTTACGATTTCTTCACTTGACACAGCAGCAGCCGTCTGCTTATAACAAGGATTAAATTTCATCTTTTACCTACTCAGAGTTGACTGAATGACACTGGAAAGAGTCATCATACGTTTTGCCTTTCGTTTATTCAACGATGTCGGAGTGCTTTTCAGTACTGTGAAATGGGGTGATGTTGCGATTTTATTGGAGTGTTGAAAATAAATTGTTCGAATATTGTCTTGTCTATTTTGTATTGACTAAATATTGCACCAGATTATTTGATTAATCCAAGTTCAAATTTCAGGATAAATCTTATCAACTGTAATTACGCATAGAACCAACAGATGGTGAATGCGAAGCTTCCATCCAAAATATATAGAATACCAAATCCTATGATTTCAATGCATCAATGGAGATCAGCGTCCCAAGTCACCCCATTTGACGGTACTCTCAACGAGCATCGGAGACGATGGATGTGACTGATAGTGAACTGTCTCGAGTTAAATCATTTGCCTTCCAGTGGCTGGTGTGCGCTTCCATGACGAAAGATTAAATGATAACGCAGCCCTGGTTCCGCATGTAGGACTAGCTTTCTCGTGATGCTGTGACGACCCCCTATTTACGTCAGCATTCATCGTGATAGATTTTCTTTTCTCTCAAAAAGCGGTAGACACCGTCTGTACTTACCACTCGGTTGATCTGCATTCACGACAAAGTCGTACCGCTCGCCAGACGTCGTCACGAGTGTATTGACACTGATCGGCTGTAGATTATATGAATCGCTGGCAATTATCTCAAGTATATGGTTGCCGATCTGTAACTCCAGTGGGCATACGTGACTGGCGGCATTGATGAATCGAAACCGATAACGGCCTCCCTTGCGCACTCGGTACACCTCCCGGGGAACGTTTGTCCTGGTTCCATTTTCTCTAGTAAACGTCCCTCTGCCGTTGATCAACAGATTCACCGGGAGAATCCCTCCACCGGATGGAAGGCCCGGCATGAACATTTCACCATCCACGTGCATCCAGTCGGATGCTAAAATCAAATGTTCCGGTAAATCGAAATCATACAGATCCGCATTGGGATCGCTAGCTTCCGGCTGCCGAACGATCATAGCGCCGTAGTGGCCGTTAACTTTGTGATGACCAGCGTGAGAGTGATAGAACTGCGTTCCCGGTTCCGTAGCCCAGAAAGCATACCGGAATGTACTCATGAACTCGATGGGACATTGCGTTATGAATGGAACCCCGTCCATGTGGGGGGTCTCTCTCTGATGGAGACCATGCCAGTGCATGGTGGTTGCCGTTCCGCCCATGGCGTTTGTCATGTCCACCACTATCAGATCATCTTTGCAGACCTGTATCGCTGGGCCCGGTATCTGGCGGTTGATGGACATAACACCTCGCTCGATGCCGTCCGCCGTCAGACAGGCGTGATGGTAGCAGTCGCTGCGAGTTCCGGTCGCGCATCGTTTGCAGGCACTGTGGGAGAAAAACGTGAGTTAGACTCAGGTGGATGTTGATCTTAATTTTTTGTTGATAAATAATGCTACTTCAGTTTTAACTATTAGCATCTCTATCCGGATCTTCCGGTGTGTTAAAGAGGCTTTTTTTTGTTTTCAAATCGTTCAAGTACATTACAAATATTGGTTACGACTGGATTGGTTAGGTTGCTTGGCCAGAGTATGAATGTTGAAGTGCTGCTCTACAATGTATGCAATACAAGTACTGGCAATGATTCAGATTTAAGAAGAAGACCATTCATTTCAGCAGCAGGCTAGGGATTCCTAAACAAACCGAACTGTCTGATACCGAAGTCTTATTGAATGATCATAATTTCTTGAACTTAATGCTGATTGAAACTTGCAATTTTCTTTCCTTACATCTTGAACTGATTTTGGAATTCTGGTAAACTCGAGTTGGGTGGAAAACGGAGGACAATTTGGTATTCGAATTATCCGGAGAACTATAGCATCTGGCGTGTCCACAAACAGTTTTGTGAATCTTAATTATGTTGAATGATAAATGCCTACCAAAAATTGCTGAAAGCACATCCAAATGTTTCAAAACTAAACTTTGTGTGGATCGCTAGTACATAAGTGCGGTCTTCGGTTTTGTGATAGGGTGGGCCTATCGAGCAGCAAACTTTAAATAAATCCATGATTTCAGAGTTAACAAGACAATTATGCGTTTGGTACGATACTTTAGTTAATAAGCTACCGAACGAAGTCAATGAGAACGCGTTATATGAAGGTTTGCATCCATTATTCCCATAAACAAAAGAAGCGCTCCGACCGAATCATGTTTTATCTTCATCCGATAGGCCGAAGTGAATTCATTGGCGTTTCAATGCGTTAGGCCTAGTTTGGCGTCAAGAAGCAATGTTAGACTTTTAACAATATCTCAACGATTGGTATATCTTTATCAAATCTTACGGTACGTACGGAAAGGTAAATAAATTTGAAAGCCATCAGTAATAATAACATTCCGTTTGGTGCTAAACTGCGTTAGATTAATAAAGACTAAGTGCGGGTTGGGCTTAATAGGCCAGAAATGGTGTTGTTAACCCTATAATAACAATATTCGGTTTTGTGATATAATGCATTCCACTGACGAACAATTTTTGGAACTCGTGTGCACGATACATTTTTTTATTATTTCGTTCGGAAACGTTATTTATTTTCATACATCTTTGTCTCAGACGTCATTTCGATTAAAAGAGATGTTTTCGTGCTGATTTGTTAAAAAAATATCGCACATGTAATTTTTTAAAACAAGGCAAGTCAAAATGGTCGAATTTTTGCAGAAATTTGAATGGTAGCCCGAGGGGAGGGGGGGGGGGGGGGTGGGTTACAAACCTAAATCTCAATTCTAGATACTCGAAAAATCTAACACTAGCGATTAAATCTACGAGAAATCTTCTTCCATTCCATCGCGCAGCATCTTTTCGTAGGAAATCTTCAGAATAGTCATCAATCTTCTTCTCAATTTACTCAGCGTGCGCGTAGCTATCCACAGGAAAACATAATTTTTCCTGCATAGTAAATAGAGTCGCCTCTCTCGCAAGCATTAGAAAATTCATTCACTCGCGCGACCACCTCAGAAACAAAATAGCCATCCTCACCTACAAACATAGGGTAGAGCGCTACTTCGTCGTAATCGCCCATTTCCGTTCTATCGATCAGAAAAGATCAATAATATCAATGATTTCACCGTTCACAAATCAATAATAGGTTTGTTCCGATGCGTTAGTTCATTAGCTACAACATAAATCCTGTTAGAGCGCATTGTATGAATATTTACGCTCATTGTTCTCAAAACAAAAGAAGCGCTCCTAGCGAATCCCCTTTTTCTACGTTTATCCGTAGGACGAAGAAAATCTAATGGCGTTTCAATGCGTTAGGACGGAATCGAAACTCGTAGAACGAATTTAGAATCAAGAAACAGTGTTAGATTTTAGACAATATCTCAACAATTTGTGACTCTTTATCAAATCCAACGGTACGTATGGAAAGGTGAATAAATTTGCAAGTCATTTTTGACAGAAATATTCTATTTTTTGTTTAAACTCGTTCAGAAAAAAGAGGTAAAGCGCGGGTTGTGCTTAGTAGGACGGAAATTAGATCAAAAACCCTATTGATCAACGAGTGTAAATTCTTCCAACCTAGTGACTCTGCATGTAGACTCGGAACTGACAGCAGTAGAAGGAATGAAGCAGAGACGATGTTTAATAAGAGAAGCGCGAAGACTGAAGCCAAAAGTTCCAATCGAAGTCAAACGCGGTTACAAAACACGTCGAAACACGTCGTTAGGCAACATAATCATAACAATTTCATTATGGTTGCGTATGAAATGTGCATTTGGATACTATTTGACTTTTGCAATACAAATAAAACATAAGTAAAATCTTTTGAGATTAATTGTTTATATTTACATCAATGCCAAAAAGCAAATATTTTTAAAAAATTATAAAGCCGCTGATCGACTGTCAAGTTTTTAATAACAAATGAATTTGGTGAAAGACTTCATAAAAGGGACTTCTCGATTACTTTTTAAATGGACGTATCTGCTTTTGTAAAGAATGCATTTGATCGTCGGTCGGCGTAACTGGTAGCTCACCCACGCATACTAACACCACTATCAGGTAATGATGGTAGTGTTAGCATGCGTGGGCGAGCTACAAATTAAGCCAAATTGACGAGCAAATGCATTCATTCGAGATTTCATTCATACAGGGTAGGAAGCATAAACTGCAGGTTGCATAATTTTGTGCAACGCTCCGTAAAATATCCGCTCCAATATGGTATATTTGGTTTCACTCTGTGTTGTCAAAAATTGATTATTCAAATACTTCGTTTAAAAAGTATTCGCTCAAATTAAAAGTCACTCGAACTAGACACAAAATTGTGGGCTGCCAAACCAGGCACACTGCTAAAGGTTGAACACGGAAAAATCCGGACACATTAAAAACGCTGCCATTAAGGCAGTTTTGGAGTAAAATTATTCAAAATTTCACTTAATCAAGCTAAGAGTGTACAGAATCACAGTAGGCAGGTTAAGTTCATTTGCTTACATTACGGCTTCACCAGATTAATGTCGTTTTCGTTTTTGTGGTGTAGCACTGGTGTAGTGTAAGCAGGAATAAGCGCGAGTCTTTGACAGCTTAACATCATTTGTTTGTAAACAAAGGTGCATTCTATATCTACACCCTAATCTTTGATAACATTAAAAAAAAACTAACCAAAGTAGCACAACTTAATAAAAATATAATCAAAATGACCGAAATGACTATTGGAAAACCTGTGTTTTCAACAAAGTTTAATGAATTTCATAGTTGAACAACTTTGCCGAAGACATAAACCTATTATCTAGCAATTACAAGAGTATCCAAGTTTATCGAAAATAAGTGTCCTTCCAAATCCATAGAAAATATATTTTGATAAAAAAGTTTTTCGATTATGTGTTTCATGTCCTACTTAAAACCTAAAAAAGAAAAACAAACAAAAAATATTATTTAATGGACTGCAATCATGTTAGATTTGGTTCTTCTTATGAGGTTCAGACAGTACATTTTCGTGTTCTTTTAATGCATCATTACAATATATTTTGCAACATTGATACCCAGAGTTGATGTCAATGGAGAATTCGTCGAATGAAATTTAAAGTGACAAAAGGTCCAATGAACAAAAGGTTGAATTGTTAAAAGGTCGAAAATGCCAAAAAGGTAAAAAGATCAAAAAGGTAAAAATGTGGAAATGGACTACAGGTCCAAACGATTAAAAGGTCGAATCACTTTTAGTGGATCTAAAAATCAAAATATTATAAGACCGGATAGGTAATATGCTGAGCAAAGCAAGGTAATCAAACTAAGGCTTTGAGTAATCTAACTGATATGCTCGAAAGAAATTTTTCACTCTTGTAGTTGACTCGTTTATAACATGAACAGTTATTTGTCAGATAAAAGATAATGAATATTTCATCTGAAAATCCTCGAAAGTTAGTTGATCGGTCTTGGAGTTGATTCCACTTTTATAACATGCGCGGTTTGTTGCCAGATACAATCTATTGAACGTTCCATTTGACGTTTTGTCGATTGATCTTTTTGTCCATTTTGACCTTGTGTTCATTGAACCTTTTGTCCATTTTGACTTTTTTCTCCTTTAAATTTCAATCGATTTTTTCCTTACACATTTGGTCCTTCGACGTTTTTGTCAAAGACTGTGTGTACCGAAAAAAAAGTCACTCGTGTTTCTTGGTAACCATTGAACCAAATTGGACACATCAGCCGTAAAATGTAAAGTACTTGGTCAAGCCCCGTAATATGACACCTCAAATTAAATGAGAATTAAAAAATAGTCGTCTATGTTCTCCAAAATGTCCTGCAGTTAAGATCTTGATGTTCTATAGACTTAATGTGGTTTAATTCGCACTTCCTTACATTTTCAACACATCATCAGAGCTTTATAAGGCCTTTCCATAATACCTTTCTTTAAAATCAGATAAATTCTGCATGCAATTTAAAAAAAAAACTATGATCAAGTTGTTTGAATTTCTGCGGCCCACCTGAGGGCAGCCTGCGACCCAAAGGTGGGACACGACCTGTATATTGAGAAACGCTGCTCTACTGCATTAGCCACACCTAGACATGTTCTGGGTGCTACTGTGGCTAGTTTCTGACGTTTTTAGGCTTTTGAGAATTCAAAAATAAGTTCAATTGTGGACAACATTGGTCACGCCCGGACATGTTCCGGTGGCCCCGCACAGTGGGGCAGCGAAGCCTTACGCGTGGCCAAAACCTCTAGCGCTGTTGGTTTGCTTTCTACAGCGATACAATGCTCTACAAAGTTGCTCAATATTAGAAGCGCCATCTTTTGAAAGTTTCATATTAGTTCATTTTTAAGCCACATAGGTGGCATTCGAGTCTATCTTTTGAACGGAGCATCCTAGCCGAATGGTTTTTTTCCGCCAAAGTTGTGTAATTTCAAGTGTTGAGAAATGTTGTGGAAGACATTGAAACTCTATGACGCACATTAAACGAGATATCGGGCAATTAAGAAAACTAACCTCTAAAATTGCGGTTTTTCCTTTTTTCACCTATATACGTCAAATGTATAAGTTTTATACTCTGCTAATTATCAAAATGGTTTGACTCATCCAATAAATAGCCATTATTTTATATATCATGCTTGATTATAAAGTTATTAACATAAATGTCTCAAAAAATTGATGCATAAAAATGTCAATTACTCAAAATTTAGCAGAAACTACTAGCCCCAATTCTTGTTGGATAAAATAACGACCCCAAATCAACAGGCAACTGCAGGCATTTTCATGTAACATCATTTGAATACTGCATATGGTAAATTCTTTAAAATTTGTTGAAATTTTGCTTTGTGTGTAAAACATGTTTAGATGTTATTGATCTAAGTTGTGGACTGTAAACTGCACTATTCATTTTTAAATCGATTATTGTAGCTAAATAATGCAAGCAGGGCTGGAGTTTGAAAGGAGCACGAAAATGAACACTGAAAATGAAATGAAAATTATGTTCGTTACTTAATCTTTTATACCTATTTACCTTCTATCTTCTTCATCCGACAGCAATGTAGATGGTACTGGTGACTCTAGGAGACTTAAAACTGCTGGTTTAAAATGTCCATCCTTTCTTGTTGGAATGGATCTCATTGTGGATAGAAATGGACCTGATGAAAGCAGCATATTATGGAAAACGTCCTCTATAGTGTCCTTTCGACTTGTTTTGTGACTTTATCGTTCCCGAAATTTTCTGAAGTCTTTATTTCTGGCTTCCTGAGCCTACTCGCTTAACATACCAATTGAAAGCAATGTATTTTGGATTGCTTGCAATCCGTGGATTAAAACCTTATGGACAGAGGCTGGCATTGGCTACCATTTATAAAGGCTAACATATTTAAAGACGAGCAGTTTCTTCAGCAAAATTTCGAAATGCTGTTATGTTGATCGAAAATCCGGAAGACAACGTACGAAGAATTGTATCGCATCGTTCGATTAATTCTTCATTAATACCAGTTATTGCAATTGTTTGGGCTGCTTTAGTGAAAAATCTGCGTGCTTCTGTGCTTGTGTTTCTGATTGTGTGTAATCTATTCAGATCAATAACATCGTATCATGTTTTACACACAAAGAAAAATTTCATCAAATTTTAATGAATTTACCTTATGCAATATTCAAATGATGTTATATGAAAATGCTTGCAGTTGCCTGTTGCACTGTGGTCTTTATTTTACCCAACAAGGTCTACACTAATCACTGTAAAAAATGGGCTGCCAATTTCATGCATCACTTTTTTGAGACATTTATGTTAATAATTTTATAATAAAGCATGATATATAAAATAATGGGTATTTATTGGATGAGTCAAACCATTTTAATAATAAGCAGAATATAAAAATCAAACATTTGACGTGTAAAGGTGAAAAAAAGGAAAAACGCAATTTTAGAGGTTAGTTTTCCTAATTGCCCGATATCTCGCTTAATGTGAGTCACAGTCTTCGACAACATTTCTCAACACAAATTACACAACTTTGCCCGAAAAACCATTCAGCTAGGATGCTCCATTCAAAAGATAGACTCGAGCGCCACCTATGTGGCGTAACATGAACTAATATGAAACTTTCAAAAGATGGCGCTTTTAATATTGAGCAACTTTGTACAACATTGTATTGCTGTAGAAAGCAAACCAACGGCGCTAGAGGTTTGGCCACGCGAATGGCTTCGCTGCCCCACTGTGCCCCGGGGAAGTGGTCATATTTTGGAAATATATGATTTTTGTCTTTCTAGAAAATCCATCCAACGCTTAATTCCATTTATGATATCAATAGACCCCTCTTCAAGGATCCTATCTACTTGGAATTTCATGAAAAATTTCCCAGCAAGCGCTAGCACAAATTCTAAGAAAGAATTAGTTGATGAAGTCGTGTTGCCAGAAACGGGAAGGCACTGTACTAACAATTCATGCCTTTTCCAAACATTGCAATGGTGACCCGAAAAATATTGCTTCACGCACCATCTAGCGTTGAAAAAGGTCAGATAAAATCATCCAATTACATCGAGGGGCAAACAGAAAATCATAAAAATATAGAAATCCAACTCGGTTGATTTCCGACTCCGACTCCACAGCCCAGTTTATAACGTAACGAATATTTCTGACATACATCGGTTGAAAAACATACGTGTAAAATATAATAACATGTGAATGGTTCACATGAACTGTTTTTGCTCCATTTCGCAGTATAATAAACATTGCATAAAGATAAATAGAACGGTGCCTTAACAGAAGAACAGAACCCACCCAGACCAGCGGTAAATCATGCGTAGTAACGCATGCACTAGTAACGCATTACTGCATATTTGCGCTACATATTTACAAACACAAGATATTACACATATTTATTTAGTGGACCGTTGCGCACAGTTTGACCTGGGGTTTGTTTACATTTATCCCATGTTTTTGTTACAGCCCAAGGGACTCAAATGCAGTGCGTTGCTTCATTAGGCTCACTCACATTAAAATCGAACTTCTGGTTGTAATTTTTGAATTTTATCGATGCAAAAATCGATGATTTGTAATGCCATTAAATATAAGTGCGCTTCATCACTCTACATCAAGACTAAAACTTCAACTTAATTCACTTCATACACCATTGAACCACATCCAGTAAAATAAGTGACAGATGTTGAATCCCATTGAACGCTTAAAATTGCATTGCACTATCACCACCTACCTCCTCAATTGGTCATAAATACCTAAACTGCAAATACAGTACAGTATGCTACCACTTAGGTGGTACTTACGGTCCCATCGAGTGGTAGTGCTCGAGCACCCAATTGAAGTAGCACACGCGTGGTAGGGTATCCTCACAGCTTCTCATGCACAGCTCGCCCGGAAATGCTTCCAAGTTGATCGGACTAGATTCATTCTGAAACGTTCGACTTAAACTGGTCCATCGGCTTGCGACACTTAATGCTGTTAGGTTGACACTAATCACTAAGATTAACAGCCATTGAACTTGTACAAGCCGCGCACGAAAAATGTGGTAAAATGACATTCTTCGGATTTGGTTATCTGCAGACAGTCTTATCAGTTTAGAATAGGGTTTCACTATTTCAAGATCTATCGTTGTCTAGTCCTGTGGTTTCTTCCCTGGTCAAGCGAGTACTAAAGGTAAGTTCAGTGTCATCTACTTTTATTTATAGCACAAATAGGCGAGATGGTCGTGTTAGACGACGAGCACTTGAAATGCGGGAGGATCAACAGCTTAAACTTGACAGCGAAGCCTTCTTGCTTCATCGAATCGAAACTGAACACCGACAGTGGATTCAGTCGATATATTTGGTTCAAGAACTCTCCTTCGAGGATCATCTCGTGATTCGAAAATCAGTGATTCCCTTTGCCGTGAATGTGTGGATGAAAACGATTTCTCCATGTTGTTCACAACAGGAAGTGTGATGTTTACGTTGGACTTAGGGTGCACGGTAGATACCAACCAACAAAGAGTGAATGGATCTGCTTCCCTGCAGAGACAAACGGCTAACGAAGTAAATACTTCGCGGAAGGAACGGTTTTCTCGGTATCGTGATTATGACGCAAAAATAAAATTGCAAGCTGATTGGTATCTGTACGGTGGGAAAAGTTTTGCAGAACGGTAGCGATGGCACGTGTTTTGCAAACGGGCTGGATTTGTACGCGACAGCTGACGACATCTGTTTCCTTGGGTTTACGCGTTCAGTGTTTTAGTGGGACGATAAACTTTAGTAAATGTAATTTTAGATTGTAATTGTAATTGTAATTAGATATTTACACTGGTCTATCAATTATTTCTGCTTGTACCGCTCCGGAAATCCCAAGTCCTGGAGCAATGACCTGACTTTTTTGCTATTCTAAGCTGTCTTAATTGTTTTCCAAGCACCCGACTTTTCTATGGTTCTCTGATAAATTGGTTTGAGTGTACGATTCTTATGGCGGTAAGCTTCAACTTGAATTATTTTTAGGAGGATATGCCAAAGTTTTGTTTTGGACCGTACTGCTTAACACCGAAATCGACATCAACCTCCGTGATGGGGATTTAGTTTGAGGATAATACCAACCGGTGAACACTCGTGTTTATTTCAGTTACCGTATCGACGTAATTTGTGATGAGCCCCGGTCCCTTTCAAATTGTATCATTATTTATGTACGGTCCATATATTTGAAATGACGTTTCACATTCATCTAGTGATGGCCGATTTTCATTCGAATAATCGATTAATCGATTAATAAACCGAAAAGTAAAATATTTGTATTCGGTTATATCATGCCGATATAAGCATTAACTTCTCCAGAGGATCATCACCGCTCGTTTCAAACATGTGCTGCACTCTCATTGGTGGAAATATGGCAGCACAGCGAACAAAAAAAAATCGATTAGTTGTTAATCGAGTAATTAAAAAATGGGACACCTCTGATTTTGGTATGTTTGTTTTGATAAAAATGAGCGCAACATTTCATCTCTGTCGAGGGGGCAGCAAAACCAAAAAATTACCTTGAATACGGGGGGTATTCATTGGATGAAAGGGACCGTGCAAGAGGACACTAAAATAGAAATTTTTTCTTCCGACAGTTTCATCTTAGTATTCATCTTTGATAATACTGGTTGAAGCTTACCACCATTTGCTTTTTTTTTCCAAAAACAAGCATCTTTAATTGTTTTAAATCCCAGATAAAACTAATATAGATCTCGAATCCTCGGTTTAGGGTTATAACACATTGCCCTAGAGCAGCGGTTCTCAACCAAATTCATATGCTGTACCCAAAGAATTATCAAACATTCATACTACCAAACTATCCTCTATGGTTGAGAACATGTTTTTTTCTAGAAATGCTTTTTTAGAGATGAAAAAAAAATTTAACTAATCCCGGGTACTGATTGGATAACCAGAATAACACGATGTTGAAAAAAGCAAAAAAAATCCTTTCGCACATAAGGGTTAATTTTTGACGTAGAACTACGTCTTTCTTTACTTTACTGGGGGTCACATTACGAAATCAAAAATGAGGCATATAACAAAATTGGGGAAGTTTTCAAACACTTATTACTTAAAACCTTTAATGGGAAATATGTCATGCAATATGTCATTTGACGGAGAATTTATCCATATTTTTTTGGTGTACAGTACACATAGTGATAATAGTTAAACCATTATAAATTTAACGAATAAAATAAGAACATTTCCCGAACTAATCAGAGGAGTGGATGGATGGGAAAATCTATTCTCTCTCGTACGGACATCACTTTCGAGCTCATGCGTAAATTTGATGGTAAGATGGTCGATCTGATCGGTGCTTGGTGGCTCGCCAGAATATAAAAAAGAGGAAGACCAGCGGAAATGTTCTTCAAAAATCGTTTCCACCATCAGTTTCAGCCAGGAGATTCCAAGTCTGGTAGCAGTTCACTTTTTAGTGGCTAGGTCACTATTTTCAAGTTACTAAAAAGTAATTTTTTTTCATCAAATAGTCACTATTTCACTTTGTTTAGTCACTGAAATCACTTTTTGATGATCAATGCTGAGAGTAAAGAATTTGACACTAAAAACTCACATCAAAGCACAGCTTGATTTGGCAACAATTTGTGTTGGAAAAATTCATTAAAAATCCGTGTGTAAAGTCTGACAAGAAGAGTTGTGAACAGACGGAAACGTTAACTATCCAATAGGGTACTTTTGGCTGTGTTCCATTTGGTGAATCGACACTTCGAAAATAAATTAAAATGTTCGAAAATCCCTCTGTTTTTGATCGGCCTATTTTCGAGAAGGTGTTTATATAAAACTAATTCCTTGTCTGTCAAAAATAAGTGGAATAGCAGGGTTATTTGCATATTTTTTAAATTCAACACCACCTTAGGGGTATTGAGGATATTGCATATTCGTAAAATCTGTATTACAAATAGAATCGAAATCCAAAATGTCATCAATTTTGAATCACTGGAACTATTTTAATTAGGTGCGATTACATTAGCAAACATCTCTATATATATATGGAGATTGGCGGATGTTGGCGGATTTACAAATATTTTGATATTTTGTTTAATTCTGTGAACTACATTCGAGATATTCAGCCGATGGCTGAAAACCTAGTAAATTGCCTTTTTCTGTGATCTCAAAAATTTGCATAGACCTATAATAAATTTTCTGAGATTTAAAACAAAAAAAAATCTAGACTCAATATTCTGACTATTTAACTTCATGGTCTTGACAGTTTTCCAGCCCTATGATGTCAAAATATCGTCATAGAAAATGAAAGCTATCAACATTTTTTTTTCAAAAGCGGCGCGTAGGGGTAAGCGTGATTGCCTCTCACTCCAAAGGGCATGGTTTCAATCCCAGACGGCTCCGCCGGGATTTTCTGAGGTATAAAATCACTGATCACGCCTTTTTTGGAATGGAAGTAAAGCCGTTTGTTCCTTGGTCCATGAGTTGATGGGTTGTTAGGCAGGGTCCAGGTGTGGGAACTGCCTTCCTGGCATCGGTAGCATTGGTACTCAGTACGGAAAACAAGATCGACGGAAAACAAATCAAAGGAAAAAAAAACATTTTTTCAAAGGTAAGAAATTTTTAAAAATCTTTGTAAACTTTTGTAATCATCGAGAAAAAATAATTATGTTACATAATCTTGAATGCCGTTTGGGGATTTTCTATTAGAGAGTTGTATAGATTTTTCTCCTTTAGTTTACCTAAATGTTTGTTTTTTATTAGTTAGGTAGGTTCCGATTCAACACATTGTAGTTTCATTTTTATACCTGTGATCTTGAGTTTTTTTTGCCTAGGGGATGAGTACTTAAGGGGGTTAGATTTTGATAAGTTCTTTAGTGTAAATGACACTGATGAAGACTGCACATTGTAGTCGAAATACGTATCGGTCATAGATACCAAAATTAATTAAGTGGAATTAAATCAGGATATAATTAAGTTCACGAATTTGGGGGGATGTAAGATTTGCTTCCAATTATGTAGGATTTATTATCGCAAGATGTTTGTGGAGACCGCATGAACGGAGACTGATATATACCGAGCTGCGGTCCAATGCAATAACATTGGAAACCGAAAAATGTGGAGTGTATAAGTGAGAGAAATTAATTATGACGATAAAAAAGAGTCCCGACTGAACTCGAACCACGAAAGTTGTTTCGATGAATTGATTTGTATTTGTCAGTTTTTATTTCTACTTCAATGCATGCCTTTTTGTCTTTTGACAAAATTTCCTATCTTTTCACATGGACCACTTGAAACCAAGCGTTCGGTGACTCGTGCAGCTTCAGATTATGGGAAAATGCTCTCGACATCCGGTTTGTAGTTGCCACAGGTGGGAAAACCTGGTGGTGCCTTTTTCATCTGCTCGACCTCACCGACCTGCAGAATGAAGCTCATTCCGATGCCCAAATGCCACTCGAAATGACAGTGCACCAGCCAGAAACCTGCAAACAAGAGAAACCCGTATGAATAGTAGTGCTGCATTTATTGTTTTCGCTTCCAGCCAATGCCGGTTGCCATTATGGCGGATTAATTTCAGCACCACCAACCTGGATTGTCTGCACGGAAGCGTATTTTCGTGTAGCCTCGGCTCGGTATGGATATGGTATCTTTGTACGGTGGATTATGACCATCAGGCATTCCACGTGTTCGCTTGGCGACGGGTTTAAGTTCTTCGTCTTTGATCCACCCGAGCTTGTCGGTTGAGTATTTCATCTTGTTCGGCAATTGGCCCATGCCAGTAACGATGAACCGATGGCCATGCAAATGAAACGGATGATAGAGTTCTCTAACAACTTCGGCATCGTCAATTAGTGACATTTCCACTATGTCATTGAGGTCCACTTTGACACGGTGGACGCAAAAGCAGGCTCGTTCCAACGGACAGCGGGCCGGACGGCTACTAATGTTGCAAAATGGGCTCTCCATGGTGTCCAGCAGTTCTGGTTGGGTGAGTGGAGGAAACGGCGGATATACCATGCTGATGTTGTTCGTAATGCCAATGTTGTTGAGCGTCAGAGCGACGGCTGAAAGTTTCATGGGATTTTACCGTTAATGGAAATTTCACCGTAATAGCCCACTGCATTGAGTTGCCAAGTTTAGTTCAGATTAAATGGTGAATCACGGTATGGAAAGTGGATGCATCGAGTTCATCTTGGCAATTCAATAGGTTCACCTCTGAACTTACTCATATAGCGAACGTATCCAACATCCGAGAACAGTAAACTGGTGTCGGCGGTGAAGGTGTTGAATGTGATGTAAAATTTTTTGTTTGGTACCGCATCAATTAGGGCATCGTCACGTTGCTCCTCGTGCGATTCCAGGTCAGAAGCGCAGACAAATTGATCGCCCGGTTGATAGCAAGTACTGTTCGGGTGGTTTAAAGTCTGCAATTTGCGGGAATAAAAGATGATGAGTTTGATAATGACTTTTGGCATTGGAGGAGATTCTGGGGAAGCTTCAGAGGATGTTTAGTCGGACCTTTTTGGTGGTTCGCGAAGTTTCCGGTTATTATGAGGGTTAGTTCTCTTTCGGTTGAATGTTTAAAAAAGCAGTGCCGTTGTGAAACAGGGTACTGAATCGCAAGTACATTCTGGATGTCATTAACACGGTGGTAAAGTTTGATTAATCTACTCTCAATAATAAAAAAAAACTGGTTTTTTATGTCATATAACGGGTTTATAATTAACTTAGATTCTGGCACTCATCCCTGAAAATATTAACTTGTAATTCTCAAACTCGAATGATCCGCTTGTATTTGCTCGCCGTTCTTCTAACTTCAGCTTAAAGACACAATGCTATACCTACAAAATGAACTACGGCTCCGTAAAGCTACATAAATTGAGCCTTTAGAAATAAACAACTAGTCTAGTTTAGTCTACATTGGCTGTGTACCCAATACTTGAATGAATGCTGGAAAATAATGGAAGTACATCTTTCATTTCTTTTCTCATTATTAATGCTTGCCGCCAGAGGCGTCGTGAGGGTTTACTGTGGCAATCTTTTGAAATGGCGCCCCTTTCCAAATTGAAAAAAGCCAGTGGCATGGATAGACGGCGCTGGTGATTGAGTGGTAAGCGTGACTGATTTCTCATCCCAATGGGACTCAATGTGCCGAAGGTTCTCAGAATGCCTACACTGCACCAAAACACCGTCCTCTGTTCGAATGAAACCTCAGACCATTCAAATCGAAACATCGAAATCGCCCTTTCGAATGATAGCTGCATCCGGATGACGGTTGTTTTGAAATCAGTTGATTTTCGTCTCGAATACAGGATGAACAATGTTATGAGAAGGAATAGGGCTTTCAGTTGAAATGCGCAATGCTCTCTGCAGAATGATACACGTATCTCATGGATGAAAACCATGTGAATTTCACCCCGAGTAGCACATTTACGCCACAATAAGTTGTTGCAACTTGCTTATGACTGATATAAGTTGTATAGAAGTTGCCGAAACCAATTTTTGACGGGCGTGCTACTAGGGACATAGCTTTCATGTGATCACATAGCTAAAAATCCCACCACAAAATCACATGAATATTATGAGGCCTATGAAATTCATATAAAAAATCATACGTTAACGTTATCGCATAAATGTTATGTGAAATTTAGATGAATTCCATTAATTTTGTTTATGGATGAAAATCATTTGCGTTTCCAATGGAAGCTACATGAAAACTATTTTCGGTGTAGTCATCTTAAATTAAAATGCATTTGGTATTGGTTCAGTCCCTTAACGCAAATCATTTAAAACGTTGATGTAAATAATTCTATCGAACGTCATTTGCTGCTCTGAGCAGACAAACGAGGTGGAAGCATAGACATCGCTATCAGAGGTGGTATGAACATTGGTAAACCGTGGAAACCAAAGATTGTCTATTTGATGGTGGAGAAAGTTTCGTCTACCAACAAGTAATTATTGTATCCAGGATGAATGGCTGTTCATGGCCATTCAATATGGAAATGTAAACAATCGAATCTAAAGCATTTGCAAGTCATCCTATCCTTAAATTGTTGTCCACTGAGCCCTGTATGTTTTACAGCCAATTTTCAAATAAACATATCATTCTTTATTTGGAGGACAGTCAAAATTTGTCATTTAATGGATGCTCATCAGTTGATGACGAATTCAACCATTAGGAAATCATCTGAAATTCGACAGCATATTGTTAAAGGGCTCGAGCAAAACAAGAATCAGTCGAAGTATTGCGGATGTTTTAGTTCAGTGTAGTTTTACTAAGGAGAGATCTAAATTGTGTTTACATTCCGAAACTACTATCATGGGCGCCTCTTGAAGGGGGCGCACATTAAAAAAATCCAGTGAGTAACCTGCTCAAAGTTTACCATGAAGGCACTGAATATAATTGTAATGTGCCCTATAAACTGTGTTCATTTGGAAAATAGTAATAATTTTACATCATGCCAACGTGAAACTTGAACAAAAAATAGATACTAAATAAGAACTTTGAAAACATTACGTTTTAATCTGTAGTATGGGAAGCCTTATTAGATCAAACTCAATTAGATGGTTCATGTTAGTTTTTATTTTAGGCATTCAAATTAAATCGATTCGGTCATGAGCCTGCACGTTGTCCAAATTAGGTTCAAGTTTCAAATATATTTTTTTTTCAAAACAGGCGGAGTCGGTGCTTTTTTTCGACTCTGACTCCGACTTTTAATGCTCAAATATGCGTCTGAATCCGACTCCAACTCCACATCTCTGGTCAAAATATGGGGCTTCGCATGCCTAGAAATGTCAGCGAAGGCAATATGTACACTGAAACAAAACATCCGCAATACTTCGAATGATTATTGCATTGCTCGAGCCCTTTACAATACGCATTCGAATTTCGGATGATTTTCTTATTGTTGAATTAGTCGTAGGAAGATTTTCGTTTTAAATTGGCTATCAAATATACGGCTTTCAGAGGACAATCATTTAAGAATAGTGTTTATCTACAGATTTATAATTTGATTATCTACATTTCCATACTGACTAGCCATAATCAGCCATTCCGTTATGGATACAAAATTTCTTCGGGGGTAGAGGGAACTTCCTCCACCACGAATTTATACAAACATTGTTTTTCACCCTTTACCTATGTTCGTAACAGCTCTGTTAGCGATGGCCTTGCTTCCACCTTATTTGTCAGCTCAGATCAACAAATGACGTTCGATAAAATTATTTACATCAAAGTTTTGAATGATTTGCGTTATGGGGCTGAATTAATACCATATGCATTTCCATTTAGTATGACAATCATTCTGCAGAGAGCATTACGCATTTCAACTGAAGGCCCTTCTCATAACAATGTTCATCCTGTATTCGAGAGGAAAATCATCTGAATGGGATGGTCTGAGGTTTCATTCGATCATCGATTTGTGTACAGTGTACCGAAAATGATTGGTGTTTGATTACTTTATTTGACTGGTGAAAATTTTGGCTTTAAGGGGGTATCCCAACAAACAATTTTAGCTGCAGATTAGCTTATACAGCCAAAAATTGGCTTATACAGCTAATTTTTGCCTGTATAAGCTAGTCTGAAGCTAAAATTGTTTGTTGGGTATACACTAAGCTAAAAAACAATCTTTTTTATGTCTTGTTAAAACTGATGAACATCTATGGAAACATTGTAGATGAAGTCATTTTAAGAAACTTTGGCCAATACCACATGTTTATATCACTCAAGTAGACGAAGTTATAGGCTGAAATGAAGTATAAACGGTAGTGCCCGCTTAAAAACCGTTTTTTACCATGAGATTTTGGATTGAATTTTCCAATTTTTTCGCTTTTCTTCAAAGTTGTAAGTACTTTAAAAATGCACGTTTTTGCCGAAAAAAACAAATCGCTACCTCTTCGTTTTAAGGATTTTCATCCGCATTTATATTTTTAACACTATTTTTAAGGGGGAGTATCTTGCAGGTTAGCACGTATTAGCACGTTGTCTTCGCCAAAGTTTCTTTAAATGACTTTATCTGCAGTCTTTCTATAGATGTTCATCAACTTTAACAAGACATAACAAAATATTTCTTTTTATCTCAGTGTATACCCCCCTCAAACATTTCCACCAGTCCAATAAAGTACTCAAAAAATGAAGAAACATTTTACAAGACATCAAAATGCTACACTCAATAGTTTCGTCACAAAATGCCTATGTCCTACTTTTTTTTAAATTCGCCCCACTGTGAACTGATCTACTTATTAATGACATTCTGTTGAATTTTCGACAGAAATACTACTGCCAGCAATAATTAACACCAGAACAAAATGCAAGTTTACAGGTAAACCGGAGGCTCAGCGCTATGCAAAGTGAAAAGTTTTATTAAAATTAGTGCACCATCGTACTTACCACACCATCGGAAAACGGTTGATCCCAAATAGGCGGCACCTGTTGTGGGAAGGCCAATACTTCATCGCTAATTTCGCTCCGTGGATGGTACGATAGGATGGCAAACTCTTCCTTCCGCTGGATATCGCAAAAACCAACGGCCCGAACCCGTACCCAAAAGTTGCCTGTATGGGTGGGTGGTAGGAGACAATAAGGATGAATTTCTCATGTGAATAAGTAAGAATGTTTCCATGGCAGCAGCGGTTGCGGAGAGCAAGAGTATACAAACCTGGTTTTTGATCAGCATGCAGAACAAAATCGTACCGTTCGCCTGATGTCGATATCACTGTATCCACAGTTACTGGCTGGACAGCGCCTCCGTCGGTGGAAATGATTTGCATCCGGTGGTTTTCGATCTGGAAGCGAGATAATTTATTGAACAAGGGCTCGTTGTTATAGTTTCCCATACTGCGGTCGATGGATTGAACCGTTCTGTTTTCGGTTCAATATTGAAATTGAATATTTAAATTGTAAAGTGCACAACCAACCTGCAATTGGAATGGACAGAATTGACTGCCACTGCTGATCATCCGAAAGCGATAGCGCTTCCCTTGTTCAACGCGGTATACCGTCAGTGGTGACGGTTGAAGCTCCTGTTCTTCTTCCTGGGAACGAAATTAGCTGAATCTAATTTTGAATTCAAAGTGTTAAGGCGCAATGGATCCGGTTGTGATTCGGTCCGGCAAATTGGCGGATAGCCCCGTCAAATTTGCCGGAACGGATCACAGTTACATCCATTATGCGTGGCCCTTTACCGCACGCTTACGTCAAAGTGTCGCCCCCGTCCGTTAATCAAAATCGAATCCATCTGGATGGTATGACTTTGCAGACCCGGTACGAACTTCTCCGCCATATCTAGGGTCCAATCGGCTATGATTATATTATGCTCTGCCAAATCATAATCGTACAGATCCTTATTCAAATCGTTTGGATGGCGAACAACTAGCATTCCGAAGTGTCCATTCGCCTTCTGGTGGCCCGCATGTGAATGATAGAACTGCGTTCCATGCTCACTAGCGTTGAAGATATAACGGAAAGTGTCTCCCGGGGTTATCGGACACTGCGTAACCATCGGAACGCCGTCCATCCAAGGAGTTTGCATCTGATGCATTCCGTGCCAATGGATGGAAGCCGCAGACCCTTCCATGTGGTTCTTAAGATCTATTACGATTATGTCATTTCGGCAAACCGTGATGCCTGGACCAGGGATTTGTCGATTCAATGACACTACGGGACGTTCCATGCCATCGGCGGTGATGCACTGCGGGTGGAAGCAATCGGTGTGGTTTCCCCAGCGACAATCCTTGCAAGCCCTATATGAAAATTACATTGTCATGTTTTTGAATGGTGCTGCAATCAACTGGAGTTGAAATGAAACTTACGATCCCATGGCGGCATAGCTCTCCGCAATCCACGAGAAGTAGCAAATACGAGGCGATTCCGTCGCGTTACAAACTCTGTCACATTCTGCACCGTCATAGGTTTTCATCTTTTCCGAAACCGACGCTCCTTGTGCAGCTCGCGACAGGTTGATGGCAAGAGTCTTTTGATTTGACCATAACTTATCTGAACAGGAAATTTACGTTAATTCTTCGTTGAACCAGCCCCACCGTACGCATATCTTACTCAAATTGACGGAGAAGGTTACGAATCCATCAGCTGCCGCAACGATTACCAGTATCAAACCGATGAATCGTATCATTTTGAAATCACTAGTTTTACTAAGCCATAAAGTTCACAGAAAGTAGACTTCACTCTACAAGTTCAAGTTGAATACTGAAGCGTTTGAGAAATACCAACGACGCAACGTCCAAAAGATGGAAATCATAAAGGCTCATAAATTAATTATTAGGAAAACAAGCAAAAACAAAAACGACATAGAACGACCGGCGGCAAATGGATTGTTGCTTCACCATTTAGTAGAAGTTTTTTTTTGTTATAGAAAAAAAATGACGCTCATCGCTTTATCAAGAGTGGCGGTCCCATTTTGATTAACCATCATCAGTATCAATTAGTGAAAGAGATGGACCGAGAGTATTAAGTCATCGTTGATTTTTTTTCGATTGAATTTGAGGATTATTTAAAGATACACTATAGTGTGAAAATGGTCATCTAAAGGGGGTGTTACCATTTTTTTTCTTCAAAAAATCGATTTTGAGTGTTTACATACTATCTAGTTTCATTCCTCCAAGCCGTTTTTCGATACGCGAAATCGGTATTCGATTTTTCATGTATTGAAGCAAAGGGTACCGTGGTGGTCAGTCAAATGTTTAAAAGCATTTTTCTCAGAACCATTTTTTTCGATAGCCGATAAGTTTTCTCAGAAACTATACAACTTATCGACTTGCGTTTTTACATTTTTAAGAGTCAGATGAGGAACGTGGAGTTGGGAATTTTAAACCATGGCCCTTATTTTCGATGTCACTTATCACTCACGGTGAAGTGATTCCCATTTGATTTACATGGCAATCACTTCACCGTGAGTGACAAGTGATCACTTCACTTCGTTTTCACCGTGAAGTGACACCCGTAATGAGGGCCCATAACTACCCAGGTAACCACTAAGCTTTAGAATTTGCAGTAAGGTACACCGGGGTAAGTTGAAACGCACGGGGAAGTTGAAACGGTAAGTTTATCTCTTGGCGGAAGTTAGAGATGAACTAGCCTAAGGCTAAAAATCTCTTAAATAAAGAATTAAAAAAAAAAAAAAAAAAATCTTGGCGGAAGTGAATATTCACTGTAATTATTTTATAGAGGCATTGAGTAGTACCGCACACTAAAATCTCCAACAGCCGATTACCTCGGAATTTACTACTATACTCTCGGTCCATCTTTGCAAAATATCTGTTTGTTAGCTGATATCTCAGCAAATTGTTATTTTTCAGCTGAGTTTCGGCAATTGTTTTACTGAATCTCAGCTAAATAAATTGCAGAACTACTCGGCTGTTGAAATCTCGACGAAAAAATTTAAGTTTGTAGATTAGAAATAATCTCAGTGATTATTCACTTCTGATAAGAGATACATCTACCGTTTCAACTTCCTCACGCGTTTCGACTTGCCCCGGTGTACCTAATATCAATCTCATACTTGCATTGCAGATGTTTTTTGCTGCTTATATCTGTTCGATCGGTTGAATGGAAGTGGTCTCGTTTACCGCACGAAGCTCCTAATAGGGATATAATGCCGATTTAACCCCGCTTTCCCCTACTATTATGAATTATTCAAGGATATCTTAGCTCAGAGGGACGTACGATCGATAAAATGGGGCTAATCATATGTAAAAAATCTCTGGAGAATCGAATGGAAGTGGTATTGGTCACCGCAGGACACTGTGAATGAGGATATGGCTGGTTATACTTTTGTATATTATTATTATTTTACTATAACGAAAAGCAAATAATGTTCAGTGATCTCAGATGCCACGCGTCATTGGGTAACTACTGTAAATTAAACAGGAGCTCTTTCGGACCGCTATAAAAAATGTGTATTTGGATATTGTTCATGTAACCACTTCTACCAGCGCAGCAATCTTCATCCTCGCTGTCACTGCATTCTTCAACACTGCCATCACTTTAACCGTCACCGTTTTCACTATCTTCGAAATTTTCTTCATGTTCCAGATCGTCAGATACACAACATTTAAATTTCTCTGCTTGGAAGTCCTGGTCCTGCATACTGACTTTTTTTCCGCGTGATTTTACCGACATATACGACATCTTAGGATCGGACCAAGTTAAAGCTTCTCTCATCATGTCGGTAAGTTTGTCCTCAGCAGAAGTTTTCCGTGAAAAGTGCAGCCGTGCAAAGTGCAGCAGTGCAAACTTGCGTCACTTGTGCCTTGTTTCTTCTGGCTGCTCGTCAACGAAATTCATTGAGAACGGCTATAAATGAGAATTTGTTTTACGTATGGCACATTCTGAAATAAAAGATATTTATTTAAATTACCAAACGCTCAACCTGTACTATCTACCGGTATTTGTTAAGACAATGTGGGAGGTGTCTTACAAATGAAAATTCAGTCCGATATTGTTGCTTAATGACAGCATATAACTCTTTATTTTGATTTTAATGGAGTCCAGCTCTTTGGAAGAAAGGGCAAGGCTGCTGATGAAGCTGATATTGCTTATTAAATCCACGTTAACTAATCAAATCTTGGCAAACTTCGCCGGTTGGGCAAGTAGTCTTCACGCCATGTTGCCGTTCGATCTTCATCTCCCACCAATTTTGGGACGATTAACGTTTATTTTGAGCCTTGTTGTTACCGAAACCACTTCCATTCGATTCTCCAGAGATTTTTGTTTTTATAATGGATTTGCTCCATTTTACCGATTATACATTTCTCCGAGCCAAGATATCCATGTATACTAGACTGATGCAAATTTTGACAATTTCGCTCCACAGTGCTCAAACGGTTCCAAATCGGGTCCTGATAAGTCTCCCAATATTTGAACTCCTTTGATAAGAAACTGACTTGGCACAAACCATTTGAAATTTAAATGGAAATTACTATAGGAAATCCAAACTTTTTGTTCATTGTCTTCTTACCTTTTTCCATATTGCACTGTTCAAAAATTCAAAAGCTATACTTATGGAAAATTTTCTCAGCTATAACTTTGCAGAATATAGTTGATGAGCCAAACGTCAAATAAAATAGTTATTAATTGTTTAAGAGATTGATAATCTTATGGCATGATCAAGCAGCTGTTTTGTGAGCAACACTGTATCTTGCAGTGTGACATAGTAGCCATGATTTTTATGCTGTATTATAAGCGCCAGAAACACCAATGTTGCCTGCTGAACAGTTGATTGAACATAATGCCATTAGTGCCTTTAATTATTGATAACTTTTGATGCTTACATTATATTGAAAAGTGGTTTTGGACAAAGTTGTAGCTGAGAAAATTTGCTGCAAACTCAGCTATCATTTTTAAAAGCAGAGCAATATGGTAAATTGTTAGATGGATATGAACAAAACATTTGGTTTTCCCATAGTAATTTCCATATAAACGTCAAATGGTTTGTGCCAAGTCAGTTTTTTATCGAATGAGTTCAAATTTTGGGAGGCTAGTCAGAACCCGATTTTGAACCGTATGAGCACTGTGGAGCGAAAATGTCAAAATTTGCATCAGTCTAATGTATACTTGAATAAAATGGGGGGAAGCAGGGTAAACTCAGCCATAACTTCATTCACAAAGCCTTGCGGTGAACAAAACCACTGCCATTCAATTTTTCAGAGATTTTTACATAGGATTAGTTCCATTTGATCGAGCGACCATAACTTTATTCACAGAGTGGTGAACGAGACCAATTCCTTTTGATTCTTCAGAAAATTTGACTTAAGAAAAAACCTTTTGTGTTAATTTTGTTTTACTCTGAGCTGAGATATTGAATTCATTCGCGTTTTATGTCCTATTTTTCCCACTGTGCAGCGGTTGTCAAATTTCTGACAGTAGCACCGTCAGCTTGTGGGGTATAGCTGTAAATCAGTCGTATATTTTGGTTCTTAAGTGGCATTTTCTGCTGATAACATGCTGTTTTTAATGCTTCTTGGTGATCTGGAGAGCATCTGATATGTGATACTTAACTAGGGTGCTTCACTTATTTTTCATTAAGGTGGTCCTTTACCTATTTTAATCTTCAAAATACTCGCAAAAACCATAAGATTCTACTAAACGCATTTACAAATACTTCAGAAAATGAAATATTCATTCTACACAAGTTTCAACAGCTGAACTGTTCGGTAAAAATTATCATTAGTTTTAAGGCTTCAAAACAAGAAAACTTCATCACAATAGCAAGACCCGTTCGGCTGCTGAAAGTTCGGTTAAAAAATACCGAAGTCGGTAGTAATTTCTAAGTGTGTGTTTACATAAATTACACTTTTATATATTCATCACTAGAATACGTTGTGGAATACTTCCATAGGGTGGTTCATTTATTTTTAATTGGGTAATTACATGTAACAAATACGTCGAAAAAAATCGTACAAATGTTTTTCTTTTATTTATTATTTGCAGGTCTGTGGATTTGGAGTCGGAGTCGGTGTCGGCATGGCCCCCTTGGAAGTAATTTAACGAACTGAGAAGTCGAAGTCTGTGAAATTATGTCGATTCTGATTCCGACTTCTTGATCAGAAGGTTCTCAACCATTATAAAGCTGAATAAAAGCTTGTTCAGCCTAAATATGCTTATTCAGCTCAACATAGCTAATACCTCTTAATCTTCTTCTTCTTATTATCTTCCCAGGGAAGTTGAGAAATTTTCCAACCCGAAAAATTGCTAGACCGGACAGGGATTTGAACCCAGCCACCTTCAGCATGGCCTTGCTTTGTAGCTGCGTCATTACCGACTGAGCTAAGGGAGGCCCACACAGCTCAAATTGTTGGTTGGATTGAATCCAGATTGAAAATAACGGAGTTCTAGAATTTAATTTTATGTGTTTAAGTTCAATTTAATTTGGTGCGTTTTCGAAAAATTCAAACACAATTTTTACGACGCATTATTCTAGATTGTAAAATGCTCGCATTATTTTAGATTGTAAAATGCTCGCATTATTCTATTCCTTGGGCCATTATACACTAAATGACGCATGTTGCACGCAATTGCAATCTGAAAACTTTTGAATTTTTCGAAAATGCATCAAAATAACCTTTAACTATGAACTCGAATTTCACTTTCTTTTGGGCTGGAGGGGTTTATTTTTTATCGT